GCTCCTGCTCCTGCTCCTGCTGCCACTGCCACTGCCACTGCCACTGCCACTGCCACTGCCACTGCCACTGCCACTGCCACTGTCACTGCTACTACCACTACTACTACTACTACTACTACTACTACTACTACTACTACCACTACTACCACTACTACCACCATTACCACTACTACTGCTACTGCTGCCGTTGCTACTATGACGACGGCGACGATTACTACTGCTGCTACTAATGTCACTATTCCTACCACAACCGCTCCAACTGCGCAACTTCAGCAACCAGTCCCGGCTTGTTGTACTGTTAGCGGATATCGTAGTAGAGCATGCATCTAAGTTCATCTAAGTTTCAGCACAAACATGCACACTCAGGTCCATCCATGCAGGGAGAAGCAAAGAGAAGGAAAGATAGAGAGAGAGGGAGAGGTAGAGCAGGCAGACAGCGTCGGACGTAAAGCTACATACACGACGGTCCGACATACGACTGTTCACTGGTACGTACATGCAGTCACACATGCAGGCATACATCTGCGCATACAGAAGGCATGACCGTCCTGTCCTGGAACATTACACGGAACAGCAAAAAGATGGCTTAGAGTATGAAGTTTATGACGCCAAAGCCAGGACACGAAGCCGAGCTGGCTGTTAGAGGACTTCTGGATTTTGGGTGAGTGTTTATTGGCTGGAGTTAGACTCATGAACCTTCCTAGTAGCATACCGGAGTACGCCCGATATCCTCAACCCAAAACCCGAATAAAGAGGTTTCTGGGGGTCTTGAGGTGTGTGGTAGTATAGTTATGTGAGGAATGCAAGTTTTAGGTTTGATAATTATCCAGACCTCGATATCAAGCATTCTTAACACCACAGAAGGCCGGGGTGGAGGCCCGCTCCAAGGCCCCCGCAGCTTCAATCGCCAGAGCCAGTCGAGACTGAACGTGTAGTAGGGCTTGGGGTTTGCGGTTCAGGCCTTGCACCCCAAAGTAAAGGACGTAAGCCCTAAAACCCTCAACCCTCAACCCTCAATCCGAAACCCCTAAACCCCTAAACCCCTAAACCCTAAGCCCTAAACCCCCGAAGCAGGAGTACGGCGGCAAGATGCCCTGCGTCTGCCACAAGGGCGAGCCGCATGTGGAAACAGCGGAAATCCTGGCCGCAGCCTCGTTTGTTTGGGTTTGGGGTTTGGGGTTTGGGGTTTAGGGGTTTAGGGGTTAGGGTTTAGGGGTTTAGGGTTTTAGGGTTTTAGGGGTTTAGGGTTTAGGGTTTAGGGTTTAGGGTCTTGAGGGTTCATACAGGTTTACAGTTTAGGGTGCTAGGGTTGAGGTTTCGTCGATTTCAGGATTAGAAGTTGGAAGCCTGCAGTCGCTAAAGCCCCCCACCTACACACCAGAGTAGGAATATAGAGACCTCCTGCCTAATCCTAACCCTAAACCCTAAACC